GCTCGGGGGGGGGGGGTGTGTTTTTTCACACCCCTGAGCGCAGCAAGTGCAGCGCTGTGAATTGCCGGTGTAGCCAAGGCCAGAGCTGGTCCACTGCAGTCAGGACAGAGGCATGTTGCTAGGGCAACGTAGGGGAAGCCTGTGCTGCTGCTAACACTCTATTGCATTGTTCAGTCACAGAGGCCGTCACCTGTCACTGTTTTCTCTTGTACAGCTTGTATTTATATGTTTGGCCAATTGCCAATGATTGGCCGGAGGCAGCTAGACCTAACAGCATCCCCGGTTTAAAGATGACCAGCAAAGGGGAAAAATCTAGGGGCTTTGACCCTCTTTGATATATAAATATGGTCTGAGCAATGTGTGTGTGGTAGGGGAGAAGTGGGCAGTTAAGGGTTTTCGGTGGTGTTTTTCCCCTGTGTTGTTGTTTTTTTTTTTATACTATAAATTCAGAGCTGGTCTACTGTGGACAACTGAAGAACTCATATATTTCTGACAGATAGATACTGTCTGCTTCAGTTAAATCGAATTAATTGAGAAGGGGACATGGTTTTTATTTACACTATATAAAGCTCTTTAGTTATGTTAATACTTATTTCACTAAAACACTTGGGAGAAAAGCTCTTTTGTTAATGATAGGAGTACTTGTGGCACCTTAGAGACTAACAAATTTATTAGAGCATAAGCTTTCGTGGACTACAGCCCACTTCTTCGGATGTTAGTCTCTAAGGTGCCACAAGTACTCCTGTTCTTCTTTTTGCGGATACAGACTAACACGGCTGCTACTCTGAAATTTGTTAATGATGCAGAACCCTCGCCCCTTCCATTAAAGGCTGAAAAAGCATTCATTACATATCTTTGTGGCTCTCAACCAGTCCTCTGGCAAAACCAGAGATGACCAGACTTAATATTCCTGGTATTTTTAAGGTTAAAAAAGCAATAAGAAGGGAGGAAAAAATACTTTACAGGCCATTTTTATACATAAGCAAAATAGCACAAACCCAATTTCTAATCCTTTGCAAGTCACCTTTGAAGGAGACGCTTGAGAACTTCTCCAGGAAAAGCTTGCATCTGAAGAAGTGAGGTTCTTACCCACGAAAGCTTATGCTCCCAATACTTCTGTTAGTCTTAAAGGTGCCACAGGACCCTCTGTTGTTTTTTACAGATTCAGACTAACACGGCTACCCCTCTGATACTCTCCAGGAAAGTTCCTGAACTATAGAATTTGCTTTTCTCTTTGGTCTGACATTTCCTAGTTATTCTGAACTCCAGGACATGCTAGAAAGGTTGATCTTGTTTCCCCCAGGATTTTCTGGGCAAGGTGGATTAAGAACGTTTATGCAGTCTGCTAGAATCATAGATCCGTAAGGTTAGAAGTCACCGCTAGGGTCCGCTAGTCTAACCCCCTGCCAAACTTCAGGACATTGGTTTGTCGAGGATTGTTTATATGACTATTGTACAGACTATTGGCAGTAAAGCCAGTCTATTCTGGATGTTTATCTCTGATCATTTAAAATTGTTGTCAAAGTGTCTAGAGTCCAGGTAGCTGTCTTTTATAAACGGAAAGAAATGAATGAATTTAGGCCAGTGGCCTTGCCCAGGTGTAAGTGACTGCAGTATTTGAGGCCCTTACGTTTCCGAAGTATGTTTTAATTACAAAAAAGTGTTTAAAATCACTTCCACAGGGGGGTATGGAGGAGGAATGTGCAAATATTTCCTTTTGGCAAGTGGGCCCAACTTGGTTTCAGCTTACTTGGGCTTCCTCCATCCCCCATGATAACAGTTTGAAACATTTATTCACAGCTAGCTGTCTACGTCTTTCAGCAAAACCCCCTATTTCCTCCACTGTTTGCTCCCTGAATATTTCCCTCCTCTCCGCACTCCAGTAACTAAATATCAGCGTCAGAAAGCTGCACCCACTGTTCTCCTTGGATCTATGCTATTCGGATCTACAGAGGTTCTTACACTGTCCTCATCACCCGAGGAGCTGACTATCCTTCTGGTAGCGCATCATACAATGAGACTAACAAGGCTAAAGGAAATGAGCAGAGGCCACGTGGCAGCAACAATTCTGCCACCCTTTTGCCCAACGCAGTGTGAGCTCAGCTCTGCACCTGACTGTGGTGGGGAAGAGAAAGCAGCAGGATGGCCCACACTTTCCCTCTCCCTCCGCCTGGAGGAGACTAGCTGCTCTAACTTCACCCAGTCCAATGCTGCCCACTCATACTATGGTTGGCTCTGTGTAGGGGCACAAGGACATCCCTCTCCCCTTTGCGCACTCACACGGGGCCAACCGCAGTCTGACTCCCCTTATTCAAAGTGTCATCCAACTTATCTCCTTTTGGGTGGGAAAGTGATTACAGGGGGCTCCTAAATGTATTCCAGAAAGAGGATTCTCTTCTCCCATCAAATCCTAGAAAATATGCAATGCGCGCAGTGCCCGGTGGCTCTGATTTCAAGCCAGGTTTCATACAGTGAGTGGTAATTACGGTAAATGCCCCTTATTTACAGTCCACCAAAAAGCTGGTTGCACATTTAACCAGGGGAATCAGCTTCCAAGTGAAAGATCTTTGTTAGGTACAGTACAAAGGTTAAAACAGCTGATGGCATCAACAGAAGCTGGTAGAGTGTCACAAAGTGTGAAAGAGAAGGGAATGCAGTTAAGACGTTGTAGAGTTGCATAACTGCATACTTGTATTAGATATCCTGCGAAATGTGCTATCTTTGGTAACATATTCAAGCTATACATCATTTACTTTTATGATTTTTTTTGTTGGTTTCTTTATGAAAATTAAATTAAAAAAAAATCACCAATAAATAAAATGTCCCGACCGGTAGTAACATGGAAAAGCTGAGGTAAGATCGAGGGGTACAAGTAGAAGTCAGCAGATTGAGATGTGGATGTGCACAAACACGGGTGCTAAATCTGATGTGGAACAGTGCTCCACCTGCCACATCAGTTCTGCTGTGTCCCGGAGCACCAGCTGCTCTGGAGCGTTGCTCTTGGCCAGCGTTATCAGACGTACTGTGCATTTTTACCGTAACAAAGTCAACAACAGAAAAAGAAACAAGAACCCGATTCAAAGCAGCAAATACCTACTGGACATATATATATATGATATATGCCATCATGTGCCAGCAATGCCCCTCTGCCATGTACTTTGGCCAAACAGGACAGTCTCTATGCAAAAGAATAAATGGACACAAATCTGACATCAGGAATCATAACATTCAAAAACCAGTAAGAGAACACTTCAACCTCTCTGGCCACTCAGTAACAGACTTAAAGGTGGCAATCCTCGAGGGGGCCATTTAGGGATATGGGGCAAAAATCTGTCTGGGGATTGGTCCTGCTTTGAGCAGGGGATTGGACTAGATGACCTCCTGAGGTCCCTTCCCACCCTGATATTCTGTGATTAATTTTGCAACAGAAAAGCTTAAAAAACAGACTCCAATGAGAAACGGCTGAACTTGAATTAATATGCAAATTAGACACCATCAAGTTAGGCTTGAATAGAGACTGGGAATGGCTGAGCCATTACACACATTGAATCTATTTCCCCATGTTAAGTATTCTCACACTTCTTGTCAAACTGTCTCTAATGGGCTATCTTGATTATCACTACAAAAGTTTTTTCTCTTAATTAATTAGCCTCTTAGAGTTGGTAGGACAACTCCCACCTTTTCATGTTTTCTGTATGTGTATATATCTCCTTACTATATGTTCCATTCTATGCATCCGGTGAAGTGGGCTGTAGTCCACGAAAGCTTTTGCTCAAATAAATTTGTTAGTCTCTAAGGTGCCACAAGTACTCCCGTTCTTTTAGCTGGACATAGTGCTCCCTGAAGTCTGAACAGACCATAGCCCCAAGCCTGCAAGTTGCATATAGGGCATGCATGAGGTCAGTACCATATCAGTATGTCACCTACAGCACAAATATATGTTACAATACACTGGTCACTGGTTCAACATCAGGTACCCAGAAGGCTCCCACACCAGCACCCATATCTGAATGCATGGCATAGAAAAATTGCAAGATAAACCTTTGGATTTTCAGTCCTTTGGGAAGCACTTTCCTGGGTGTTAGCTTCCTTAAAGGGGTGGGAAAGGGCTCCCCCAGAATTCCTACCAAGGGCTTCTGCTGCCACCCCGGTGGACTCCTTTTCCACCCCACTAAGGAGGCTAGCACCCAGGCAAGTGCTTCCTGAATGGACAGCCCTGTCCCAGAAGGCATTTTAGAGGACAGTGCCTCAGCAGGGGACAATGGTTCCCAAAGCTCCCTGGTGCACAGGAGGAATGTTCCCACTGTGGCACCCTTTGGACGGGTGTAGCGTGGGCTCCCTTTGCAGATGACGCCCTGTTAGGCTGGCTGGGGGGAAGGGAGGGAAGGCTGATGGCTCTGTCTCCTCCCCTCCCTCACACACACACTTTTGGGGTGACCCAATGTAAGGATGGCCCAGGTAAGGGGCTACCAGGAGGGGAACGGTCCCGGTGCCCTGTTCCTTTTGTGCAGCGATGAGCTGGTCCTTTGGTTCCCCTCTCGGTGCAGCTGCCCAGAGGGACCGCACGGGGGGCAACAACAGTCACGCCAGCTCTGCAGGAAGGGCCTGGGCCTCCCCGCTCGTCCCCCGGCTCGGAGCTGGAGCTTAAGAGGAGCGCACGGAATTCTCCTCTTTCGGAGGCGCGCACAGGCTCGTTCTAGAGCGCACGGCTTGGCTACAGGTGCCCCCGGGCTCGCCGACTCCTCCTTCCCCAAGCGCGCACATGGCCCGAGCGCACGGAGGTGGCTCCTTCCCCGTGCGCTCCCTCTCCAGGGCGCGCCGCACACCTGAGCCCCCCCATCTCCAGCTACGCTGGGCTGGCGGTGATGGTCTCCGCTCGGGACCGCAGGCTGGTGGGGCGGCCTCGTCCCCCGCCAGCAGCAGCCGCCCCCACCCCCGCGCTCCTGCGCTCCGGAGGAAGAGGAGGAGGAGCGGCTGGCAGGTTGCGCTCTCTCGCTTACCTTGCAGCGCGGCCGCGCTGGTGCAGGCGGACAGGAGCCCGACGCTGCCGCACAACAAGAGCAGCAGCCGGGCCATGGCATGGGAAGAGCTAGGGAAGGGCGCCAGCCTCTCCAGGACGGGGGCGCAGGGTCAGATCCCCGGCGGCGGCGGCTGGGGCCGGGACGTAGGCAGCTTCATTAGGGTATCAGGCTGGGGACGTTTCAGCCCCGAAAGGCAGCAGAAAGGGGGGCATGTGAGTGAGGGCGCAAAGTCCCGGCTCGGCGGATCCGCCCCAGGCGCCTGGAAAAGTCCGCAGAAGAGTTTGGGGAAATTTAATTCCAGTGGATTCGGTGCCTTTCGCTTTCGGTTTCGCATTAAAGTCGCAGCAACCTGGACAGGGGCATTTGCCAGCGAGGGGGGAGGGGACAGTTTGACTCGCAGCAGCCCAAGGGCCAGTGGCACCTGGTTCCAGCCCTCCGGCACCTGGGTGAATCCAAGTTACCTCCCTTGCAGCGCCTAGAGGGGAAGGTGACACGTAGAACCAAGCATCTGGTGCGCAGAGGGAGGGCACTGGCAACTAGCTCTCTTGCTCGCTTTTTCTAGGGTCACGCTATTATTTTCTGCGTCTTGTTCTCTCACCGCCCCAGCCCACCCACCAATCAAATTACCCAGTTGAACCCTCCACCGACTGGGAAGACTGTATGAGGGATAAAAAAAACAACCATGTGGGTGGCCCAGATCAGGCTCAGGGCACTCAGGCTTCTGGGCTGAAAAATCACTGTGTGTAGATCAGGAGTAGGCAGCCTATGGCACGCATGCCGAAGGCGGCACACGAGCTGATTTTCAGTGGCACTCACACTGCCCGGGTCCTGGTCACCAGTCCGGGGGGCTCTGCATTTTAATTTAATTTTAAATGAAGCTTCTTAAACATTTTTTAAAAACCTTATTTACTTTACATACAACAATAGTTAAGTTCTATATTATAGACTTGTAGAAAGAGACCTTCGAAAAACGTTAAAATGTATGACTGGCACGCGAAACCTTAAACGAGAGTGAATGGATGAAGACTCGGCACAGCACTTCTGAAAGGTTGCCGACCCCTGGTGTAGATGTTCAGGCTAGAGCTGGAGCCCAAGCGCTGGGAGTCGAGACCCTGTGAAGGGGGAGAGTCCCAGAGCTCGGGCTCTAACCCAAGCCCAAATGTCTATGAAGACTTTTAGCCCTGCACCCTGAGTCCCTGGGGTCCCGACTCAGCTGACTTGAGCCAGACACGTGCTGATTCTTTGGGTTAGGTGTGCCCCATTAACTGTTTATTACAAGCATTTGCAGTGGGAGAAGTCCTTCACGTGTGCATTAATTTGAACAAGGTTTTAACTCAGCCCCTACCAAGGTTTCACCCAGCTCATAACAAAATGAAAAGTTAAAGCATATGGAACCCTTCTGCCAAGTGACACCTGCAGCAACTAGAGCTGGGTTCAATATCTAGGGGTTTCTTTTCAACAATACAACACAGAACCAGCTTATAAAATAATAATAAATTCATGGAGATATCCTATCTCCTAGAACTGGAAGGGACCTTGAAAGGTCATTGAGTCCAGCCCCCTGCCTTCACTAGCAGGACCAAGTACTGATTTTTGCCCCAAATCCCTCCCTCAAGGATTGAGCTCACAACCCTGGGTTTAACAAGCCAATGCTCAAACCACTGAACTATCCCTCCCCCCACCTAGTAACCTGAGGAAATTACACACACACTACCCCTTGGCATAGGCGCCAACTTTCCCTGGCACTGGTGGGTGCTCATGCCCCCCGCCCCGACTCCACCCTTTCCCTACCTCTGCCCCACCACCATTCCAACCCCTTCCCCAAAGTCCCAGCCCCAACTCTGCCCCCTCCCTGCCCCTATTGGACCCCTTCCCCAAATCCCCGCCCCGGCCCTGCCTCTTCCCCAAGCGTGCCATGTTCCCCCTCCCAGCGCTTGCCGTGCAAATCAGCTGTTTCACGGTGCAAGCGCTGGGAGCCAGGGGGGAAAAGCAGTCATGCGGTGCACCCAGGGGAGGAGGTGGAGGCAGAGCGGAGGTGGAGTTGAGCTGGGGCGGGGCAGGGAGCTCCCGGTGGGTGCTAAGCATCCACTACTTTTTCCCTGGGGGTGCTCCAGCCCCGGAGCACCCACGGAGTCGGCATCTATGCCCCTTAGCACCTCTGAGCAGCAATACTTCCCCACTCGTAAGCACAGAGTCTTGAGTGTAGAAAAGAAATTTTTAATGAAAGGAGGGAAGTGACCCAATGTTGATTAGGGAAAATGCCACAAGCAGGATTCATAATCATAAAACTGTGAGAAGGACACCCATCCCAGAGTGTGTGGGGCAGTGCCTTCTGCCTCTCTCTGCTCTCTCACCATATTTACTCACAGGGGTTGTCCTTGGTCAGAGAGGACCCAGGGTTCAGAGGTGCATCTGTGTGAGTTCACCTCCTTCCCGAGGAAAGAAGGCACCTTGTATGACGCATGGCTAGAAAGGGTTAAACAGCTTGTAGGCTGAATGACCCAAAGCCCACCTTTAAAGTCATGTTAGAAAGGTATGTGAATGATAATTAGGGCCATTCATGCTAAATAGGCTAGAACTTTGACATGCAAACCTATATTGTTAGAAGTAATACTAAATGTTTAATAGCTGGGATGGGTCATTCAGTCTTTTGTGTAGCACTTCCATTTGTAGCAAAGTCTATCAAGCATTCTTAAAACTACAATACCCACCTGCTGAAGTGAAAAAACAGATTGACAGAG